GGGTGGGGTGGGAGGGGGGGGGGGGGGCACGGGTACGGTGTGGCCTTCGTTTCTTTCGCCAGTCCCGTGCCCAGTGTTGTGCGAGGGAGTTTTGTTGTAAGATTCTTTCGAATTTTCGTTCGGGGTTCATGTACGTGGCATCTCTTCTGTAACGGTCGTTGGAGGGAGCGCCCTGGAGATGAGAGGGTCGCAGCCGGATGTAGGCGTAGTCCGTACACCGTAGAGCGGTGTGACGCAGGTGATGTCGACTCCACGACCTAGATGGTTTTTAAAGCACACTCACACCATACCATGCGAGGTGTCCGAGGAGGGGGCTGGCTTTTGAGCCTCTCTCCGCAACCGTTGCCGAATCGCTTGGCTGCCCCTCGGTAGAGCTCTACCCGTTACCGCTTGGGCTCTGCCAGCTGTGACGTCCCCGGGCGCCGCGGGGCAATATATGTATGTATTAGTAGGAAGGTGATAGTACAGTCGTTGGTGCGCTTTTTCGTGTGGCGATTCCGGGCAACGATTTTCATCTGACCCCTCTGGCGCCTACCATGGGCTCTAGCAGTGCACTGACTGCCTCGCTCTTCACAAGTAGAAGAGAAAGAAAGTGCGGATGACACTAGTTGTAGTTCACTCTCTCTCGCACTCACTCCCCGGCACACAGCGAGGCACACAGCGAGGCACTTGTGCGCAGTGCCGCACGGCCGACGCACGCAGCGCCGTGTCGCAAAGCCAAAGGCACGCGTTCTCACACATGCTGGTTTCTCGACTCATGCCACAGCGTTGCAGTACTTCTTGTGGTATGCCCAGTCCCGCTTCTGGCATTCTCGAGAGCAGTAGCGCACCGCCTTGCATCGCGAGCATTTGCTCATGCGATTGACTGCCAAGCGGGCCATGCAGCTCGAGCACCGCTTCGGATCCAGCTCCAGCAACTCCTGCCTCCAATCGACGTTTCGCTCCTCAAGTAAATCTTCTGCTGTCACGCAGAATCGTGCATTGAACTGCTCCATCCCGCTCGTCCCGAGGCTCAAATCTGCTGCCCATGCGGAACCGTGTTTGTACGGTTTGTAGGGACAGAACCAGCTGGATTCGTCGTCATCGTTGATCTTCATGGCATACCCAGCGCCAGCCCACCGTGGGAGCCCCGTGGAGCGGATCTCGACGAGGCCGTAACGGTGCATCAGCCATTGGATGCGAAGCGGCAAGTGTTCGAATTGCCCAAGAAGCCGATTGTGGTAGATGTCAGCGTACTCCTCTGCCTCCTCCATGCACACGGCACAGTGGCTAGCCACCTCCGACGACGGACCGCCGTCGTCAGATCCCACAAGCGAGCTCCGAATAGCGACGACCCTACGCAGGCGCACTTGCTGCTCCAAACAGGCAACGGCGTACCACGGGAGCTCCAGCCCGATGCGTTCACCGCTGTCGAGCCCTAGCTCGCGCCGCAAGAACGCGAGGCTGAATCCGCGTTCGTCACCAACGGATGACATGGCTCTTTCGAGCTGGCGATTGGCGACCACGCTAATTCCAGCATCGGCCAACCCGCGCTGCCTCAGAGCTCTTATCGCCACATCCATCTGGCGCGTGCAATCCGCGTACGCACGCTGCAACTCGATGCACTCGTCGGACGAAACGTCGTCGCGCCCGTGGTATCTTGCCTGCTGGTACCGGCTGTCGGGCCGTGCCTCGAGCGTCACGTTGCTCAGCAATGGCACGAGGCTCTCGCCTGCGTCGCCCGCCTCACCCGCCGCTGCCGAAGGCTCCGCCATGCGCTGACCCGAAAAAACGCCCACGCCGCCCGATGCCGCCTGTGCCGTAACCTCTGCAGCGGCCTCGCGCCGACGCCGATTCGCCACCCCCTCCTCATGCGCCTCCTCGAGATATGTCCTGAAGGCCGCGATGCACTCCTCATGGCCCTGCTGCTGGGCAAACTGCAGCGCAGTCTTGCCGTCCTCATCGCGGGCCATGCACCCTTCGCGCCCAGCCCGAAGAAGCACGAGGACCGTGGCGGGATGGTTGAAGAAAGAGGCGGCCATCAGCGCAGTCCTGCCGTTTTTTGTTCGCTGATTGACCTCCGCGCCGTGCTCCAGCAGCGCTTCGACCACCCGCACGTGGCCGTTGTTGGCGGCGGCCATCAGCGCCGTAGTGCCGATGCTGTCTTGCGCGTCCGGCTTCGCGCCCCGCTTCAGCAGAAGCTCGACCAGCTGCTTGTGACCGTTGGCGGCGGCGATCAGCAGGAGCGTCCAGCCACTCGCACCGCCACGCACGCACGTCGCGTCAAGCAGCCCGTCCCCGGTGAGCCACGTCTGCACCACGCCCGCCTTGCCGTCCTCCGCCGCGGCTTGGATCTTTTTCGGCAGCGCGAGCGACGCAGCCTGTGACGCCTTTGAAGCGCGTCCGCGCCGGGAGGCGGCTGAGCCAGCTTTTGGTCGGCCAGGCATGGAAGCGCTCGTCGTAAAGAGAAGCCCGGCGGCGGTGGCGGGGAGCGTGGCGGGGAGTAAAGAATTTACCGTGGCGCGGTGCTCCGCGGTCGCCGCCTGCGGCATCATCGCCGCCCAGGCGTCGCTAGCAGGGGCGTTCCGATGTGCTCCGATGTGTTACGACTCGCTCTCCAGTGTCACGCTTTTGGTCGACGGGATACCCCCCCCCCGACCCCCCCCCCCCCCTGGACGCGTCCACCCTCCGTCCAACATTCGCATCCCCTCTTTTACATACATAAAACCTTCTAGCGAGACACGCGTGGCGCTGGCGGGGGCCAGTGTCTCGAGTGTGCACGGCGAATGGCAATGGGCGAACCCGCGCCTGATATACTCTGCATACATCGAAATGGCAAGATGGAGTGTACAACTACAAGTAAAAATGCGGGCAACGCAAATTTAAGTGCACCCTTAGTCGGCAAGAGTGCGCCTGCAGCCACACTGCATCGCGCCGACCCGCGACCGCCGCCCGCCGCACACCGCCGCCCGCCGTCACGCTCCTACCAGCAGCGGCAAGCCCACCGAGAAGAGGTCGAGGGTGGGGTCGAGCTGCCTACCCAGCCCCTCGAGGACGACGATCGCGCAGACGAGGGTCGTGAAGACGGGGTCGGGCTGCACGTGGTGCGTGCGCACGAGGCTGGTCACCTCGAGCAGAACCTCGCCCACCTTGAGGTGGCGCAAGTTGAAGGCGCCGCGCTCGCCCGCGCGCGCGCTCTCGACGAGATTCCTCATCCCGCGCCGGAAGGCGGCGGGGTCGTCGCAGCGCTGCTCGCGCGCGTGGCGCAGCATCAGGTCGCCCGCGAGCTCGCCTAGCCGAGATGCAGCCGAGATGCAGCCGAGATGCAGCCGAGATGCAGCCGAGATGCAGCCGACATGCAGCCGAGATGCAGCCGAGATGCAGCCGAGACACACCCGCGCTCGTCTGGCAGAACGCGGAGTGGAGGGAGCGGGCCAAAGGCGCGGGAGGCGGGGCGAGGAAGGGGGGAGGGGGAGGGGGGGCGAGTCGCACCGTCGCCCTGCCCGATGGCCTTGAAGAGGCTGAGGAAGTTGCGCCGGTCCCGCTCGGTCAGCTCGACGACCAAGCCAGCCTGCGAGAGAGGCGCACGAGAGAGGCTCGCCACGGGTGGGCTCCGAGAGGTAGCAATCTCGGCCTGCTCTCGGCTGCGAGCAGGCGCGCGTCGATAATGCCGAGCCTGACCTCCCCCGCGCCTCCTCCGCCGCCCTCGCCGCCGGCCGGCAGGACGAGGATGTTGCCCGGGTGGAGGTCGGCGTGGACAAAGTTGTGCCTGCAGAGCGGCGGAGGGGCGGAGCCGATGTGGCGGGGAGGGCGGCGGAGGGGCGGAGCCGATGTGGCGGGGAGGGCGGCGGGGTCCTGCTCCAGGGTGCCCCGGTCACTCAGGAGCGCGCGCAGGAGGCAGCACTCCTGATACCATAGGGAGGACGGCGCCACCCCGGGAGCGCGCGCGCGCCGCGCGCTCTCTCGGCTACATCGCGGCGGCTCGCGCGCCGAAGCACCATAGTAAGGAAGGTGCGCAGCCCGAGCCTCGCCAGCTCGCTTCTCCGCGCCTCCCGCGCCGCGCCGCGCGCCTCGAGCTCCGCCGCCGCGCGGACGGCAGCGCTCGCGTCCGCGCTGCTCGCGGCGCCCATCCCCGCAGCCTGCATCGCCTCGGCCGCCGCCTCGTCCGCCGCGAGCAGCGCGGCCGCCTCCCCCTCCGCCGCGGCGGCGTCCTCCTCGAGCAGGGAGGAGAGGGTCTGCCCGGGCAGCAGCGTCTCGACGAGCACCCTCCGCGCCACCAGCCCTTCCTCGCGCAGAGGCCGCGGCACCTCCACGCGAGGGTCGACGGCGAAGTTCGCGCGGAAGGCGTCGAGGTTGCGGGCTTCGAGCCGCAGGTCGAGCTGGGACCGCATGAAGGCCGCAAACTCGTCGACCATCTGGGGAAGGGCGAGCCAGCGCAGGCCAGGCAGCAGAGGGGAGAGGAGGAGCTCGAAGGCGCCGCACGCGCCGCGAAGCAGGTAGAGGTCGTCAGCGACCTGGAGGCAGGGTCCGAGAAGGGTCCGAGAAGGGTCCGAGAAGGGTCCGAGAAGGGTCCGAGAAGGGTCCGAGAAGGGCTCCACAAGTGGTGCAGCTGCCTGCCGCTCGACATGCGGGTGGAGCACCTCGAGGGCAGAGGGGCGGGCCGTGAGGAGGCGCTCTTCGGAGTCGACGCGTGAGTGGGCGCACCACCTTGACGGCGAGGGGCACGCCGCCCACTGTCGCGCGGTGCACCTGCGCAATGCAGCCCGAGCCGAGGGGCGCAGCAGAGAGGCTTCCCAGCAGCTCCTCGGCGGGCGCGGTGGCGCCGAAGGAGGCGGAGATCGCGGCGCGCGAGAGCTCGAGCGCGTGCGGCTCGACTCTCGAGTGCAGCTCGCCTGTCCACGCCTCGAGCCGTGAGGCGTTCACACCCTCGCGCCCGCCCTCGAGTGGAGGCCCTCGAGTGGAGCTCGCCGAGCGTCGCGCAGAGCGAGGCGGGCAGCACGTCGGGTCGCGTGGAGGCCCACTGGCCGAGCTTCGTGAGGCACGGGCCGCCGCGCTCGAGCGCGTGCACCAGAGCGCGCTCGAACCGCGACTGCCACGCTCTGCCGCGAAGCAGGAGCGCCGGCAGCAGCAGCAGCAGCGGTCGCAGCAGCAGCAGGCCCAGCGCAAAGGCGCGTGCGAGCAGTCGCAACGCACCGAGTGCTGAGCGCGGCCGACCATCGAGCGATAGAGAGGCCGATTCGGCTTCGGGTACTATCGCCGCCTGCCGGGCCGCGACCCGCCTCTGCACAGCAAAGGCTGGCGTGCCGCCGTGGAGGAGGAGCAGCGCGGCAAAGCTTTGCGGCGGTGGGCGGCAACTTAAGATACGGTGCAATGCGGTGCTCCGGCCGCAGAGAGAGCGACGAGGCAAAGCGACGGAACGCGCGAGCCGTAACGCGGTCGGAGAGCTGTCGGCGACGGTTCGGGCCAGTCGGAGCATTGCGACAAAAAAAGTCGCGGGCGGAAACAGAAAGAAGGAGCCTCCACACAGGGATTTCAAAGGAGAAAGGACCCGCCAATAAAGGCGAGTTTCTTATGAGCGCCCGCCGAGGGCGAGGCACCCTCTCTCCATCTCTCTCTCTCACCGGCCGGTCCTTCCTCCCCAGCTGCTCGCCCCAGGAGAAGACATGAGTTCACCCGCCGATAGCGTGAACGCGTCGGGTGACGATCACCTCGATGCGGCAGCCTCGGCGATGCTGCACTCCAGGTCGCGCCTCCCGGGCCAATGCGGCGATAGAATGGGCCAGTGCACCGCGGGTGGTCACCTCGCCCGGCTCTCGATGGAGGAGCGGGGACTGGTGGTGATGGAGTCACCGGCTATGGGTCGGGCGCGCGTGGCGACGGCTACGGATGCGCGGCTAGCTGAGATCCGTGCCCTGCCGGACACGAGCGGAACCTGGGTCACCCCTGCTCGCCGCGTGCCCGACTCGCCAGAAGGGGGAGGAAAGTCGGCTCTGCGACCCTCGAGCAGCCCAGGCGCGCGGGATTGCGGCTGCGGCCGCACGGTCAGCTTTGCCCCGTTCACCGACGAGGGTCAGCCAGAGGAGGGCGCCGCGTCCTCCGCCAGTGACGGGCGGGTGAGTCACTGGCTCGCAGCGGCACCCGAGTGCTTCGCCATCGCCTTCCTCATCGCAATCGCGCTATCGCTCGCCTTCCACTCGCTGCATATGCCGCCGGTGTCGCCGCCGTCGCCGCCACCGCCACCGCCACCACGGTGAAAAGAGACATGAAAAGGACATGAACTGGTGACGCAACGATCGGGCCGTTCGGGCTCACCATCCTCGCCCTCGGATTCTCCTCCCGCTAAACCTAAGAAAGAAAGAAAGAAGACAGGGAACCCAAGGGAGGACGGCACGCCGCCACGTTGAGGCTGCTCTGAGCGGCAACAAGGCGATGTCCGATGACATCCTGCCTACCGGCGCGCCGGGAGGAGGTGCAGGTGGTTGCTCCGCCGCCGGACCGCCCTCTCCACCACCCTCGCCCAGGGATCTACAATGCTGTCTTAAGGTCCGCCGACAGCATCGGGCACCGCCTCGGTACTCGAGTAGACAAAATGCGCCTGCGGGCGGACCCTGACAGATCACAGATCACTTGTACGATGCTGCTACTGCCTTTTTCTCACCTCACTCTCACATCTTGTTTGCTGCGTTTCTTCACCCCACTCGTGCGCAGCTGTAGGAATACACAATGGTGCTGAGCGGCAGCATCACCTTCCTCTACTCCTCGCGACTCGCCGACGCACGACGCTTCTACAGCCACGATCTTGGCCTCCCGCTCCGCCGCGACGGTGGCGTGCTCTTCTTTGCTCTCCCGGGTGGCGCCGCGTCGCTCGGGATCGTGCCAGAGGGGACGAGCGCGGCGGCGAGTCCACCCGTGAGCGCGGTGACCGCCGGACGCGACACGGCCATGGTGTGCCTGCTGACGGACGACGTCGACGGCACCTACGCAAAGGCGCTGGCGGGCGGGCGGTGCTCGGCGGAGCAGCCGCCGCGAGCGACGGAGCGGTTCGGCATCTACAACGCTCTGCTGCGCGACCCGGACGGGTACCTCGTCGAGCTGCAGCGCTTTACCGACGCGGCGGAGCAGCGAGAGTTTTGTGGCGGGTCGGCAGCGTCGGAGGCGGCGTCGGATCAGGCGGCGGCGGCGGCGGCGGAGGCGGCGGCGGCGGCGGCGGAGGCGGCGGCGGCGGCGGTGGAGGAGTCGGCGGTGGCGACGGCAGAGGTGGCGAAGGCTCCGCTCGTCGTCGCCGTCGGGAGCAAGAACCCTGTCAAAGTCAACGCGGTGCGCGCCGGCTTTGCCGCCGCCTTCCCGCTGACAGCGCTCGAGGTGGTTGCGTACGACATCCCGAGCGGCGTGTCCGACCAGCCGTGGGGCGAGGCGGAGACGCGGCAGGGGGCTCTCAACCGGGCGGAGAACTGCCTCGGCGCGCACTGCCTCGGCCACGGCGGTGCGGCTCCTCCTCTCGCGCCCACCACCGCCCTCTCCCTCTCCCTCCCTCTCCCTCCTTCTCCCCCTCTCCCTATCTCTCTCTCTGTAGCAGCCGCACCGCGACTCCTCCTCCCCGGCGCCACCACCTCCCCGGCGCCACGCAGGTGCGATGCCCGACTTCGCCGTCGGAGTCGAGGGCGGCGTGGCGGAGTGCAGCCTATCATCCCTCCACCCAGGCACGCCCGGCCTCGACTCCTGCACCGAGTGCTTCGCCTTCCTCGCCGTGATGCGCTCGCCGGCGAGCGAGGCGGGCGTCGCGTGGGGCGTGGCGCGCACCGGGTCCTTCGCGCTGCCTCCGCGCCTCGCCGCCCTCGTCAAGTCCGGCGTCGAGCTCGGCGACGCCGACGACAGAGTCTTTGGCGACAGCGGGAGCAAGCGCAAGGGCGGCACGGTCGGCAAGCTCACGCGCGGCCTGGTGGACCGTACCGCGTACTATGAGCATGCGATGCACCTCGCGCTGGCGCCGTTTGTGCACGGAGAGGAGTTCCCAGGGCTGTACGACGCGGGGGAGTGAGCGTGTGGTGAGTACGCACGCCCCGTGTTGCATGTCTGACTGTCACTGTGCGGTTTCGGGGCCCGGGGTTGTGCGTTTCGAAGTGAGTGCGCACACCCAATTCGACAGAAAACTTCTTTTTTTATTTCATCAAATACGGCGACCATCGACCCACGCTGTCAGTGACGAAGGATGGCCAGCTCTGTGATCGCCGTGTCTCCCTGGAGCACAAATATTACTGTCGTTGATGGCATGCCCGCGGCGTCCAGCTCTCGGTACGCCATTGAGATGCTGGCATGCTGGCTAAGCTTTGTCACCTTCAACCTCGGCTGGGTCGCCATGACATCGCCGAAGGACGACCGCTGGCGGCGGATGCGCTTCATCTGTATGATGTGGCCGCAGCAGTTTCTCGCCATCGTGAGCCGGTTTCTCGTCATGAGGTTGGTCAAGCTCGCCTCATGGGAGGGGCTCGACCATCCGGCCCTCTACTGGCCTCTCCTCTTGCCGATCGGCGTCTTTGAGACCTGGTCCATCCAGGCGATGGCGGACGTGTACGAGTCGCGGCCCGTCAAGCCCGTGTGTCTGAAGCAGGTGCTGAACCAGCTCAAGATCACCACTGCAGAGTCCATCGGGGTAACGGTGGGCTACAAGATCTGGCCTTGGGTTCGCATCGACGACCCGACCGTCGAGTCGCTTCTCCACGCCACCTGGCGCACCTTTGTCTTTGACATCGGGCTCGACATCGGCTTCTACACCTTCCACCGCGTGTGCCACGTCAACCGCGCGCTCTGCTGCTGTCGCACCTCGCGGCACCGCCACGTCCGTGACTTGTCCGTGGCCACGTCCCGCAGGCACGCTCTACCGCTGGCTGCACGCGCAGCACCACACCGACACGGCCAAAGAGCACGGTCACCTAGTCGCGCACGAGACCTACGAGGTCAGCCTCGTCGAGGCGATCTCCATCCTGGGCGCGCACAGGGACCTGGCCGAGATCTCGCCGAGATTGCCCGAGATTTCCCGAGGCAAAGCGCGCGCCTCCGTCCTCGGCTCCTGCCTCCATCAAACCTCCCCGAGCCATCACACAACGACACGACCCAAAGTGCCCTCAGGCTCGTACCTCATCGGGTTCGAGCTCATCGGCCTGCTCTACAACTACACCCTCTTCGACATCGCCCTCCTCGTCTCGTGGGCACCGAATCGCCACCGCAGTGGCAAATCGCGCGACTCGTCCACGACGCACCCACGCGGCACGACCCCATAGGCGCTCAGCGTCGCGCCGCTCGACCAGGTCGGGTGTGTGTGAAGGGGGAGTCTTCACCTCTTGAGCCGTGAGTAGGCCCACCTCGTCGAGCTGCTCGGCCACACGCAAATGTCGTGGACCGTGAACGGCCCGCCCGCCCCTGCCCCATCCCTGCCCCACCGCCGCCACCGGCCGCCAGAGACGGACAGTCCTACCTCGCCGCGCCCGCATGCAGGCCACCCTCTGCGCATCATCCCAGAGGTGCTCAACCTCGACCTCAAGGCGAGAGACCCGAGACGACCCGAGAGGACCCGAGAGGACCCGAGCGCACTCCCTCCCGCAATGCTCCCAGGTGCCCGACCACACCATGCACCACACCAAGCCCCTCTCCAACTTCTCCAAGCGCCTCACGCTGCTTGATCACCTCTTCGGCACCTACGAGCCGCCCGGCGACGAGTACGGCACCATCACGCTCAAGGACCTGGCCAAGGCAAAGGCCAAGGCGGCGTGAGGGTGGGCGACGGGCGTTCGCGCAGACCACTGACCAGTGTGCTGCCCCTGCGCCGCGCGCGCTCGACTGCGCCCCGCTCTGGCCTCTGCTCAACGCCTGGAACCGGGCCGTGTACGTTTTAGCTTACTGGGAGAAAGGGGGGCGGCAGGTGTCTCTCTCTCGCGTGTACGATTAATTGTGATTCCTTTTGCGATTTGCAAGAGGATTTACCCGCTTCAGCGTCCGTCCCGAAGCGGACGCACGCGCGGCCGTGGAGTTGGCAATGCAATATGATCACGTCTACTCCAGGTTACGATGAAGCCCGCTTCCAGTCCGAGGCGGAACTTGGTCTCGTTGCCGATGTCGTCCTCGCCCATCGCGCAGAGGGCGCCACCAAGGAGTCAGAGGTCACTGGCAAGATGCCAAAGCCGACCGGGGGAGAGCCGGGGTTGCGCCAGTCGGGTGGCGAGAGCAGCCTGCTGAGGAAGGAGGCCGAGAGGGAGTCTCAGCGTGAGTCGGAGCTGGAGGCGAAGCGTCGCGAGCTCAAGACGCTGCTCGAGTCGGTCGGGCTGCGCGTGCGGGTGCAGCACTCACGAGACGGCGGCGAGGTGATGCTCAAGGTCAGCACTGCAAGCGCGCGGTGCATTCTCCCACGCACCGCGGACGCCTGTCTCGTGGCGGGCCCTAGGTGACGGCCACGCTGGAGCGCCTCGAGGATGAGGCCGAGCGCAGCGGCATGAAGATGGGCATCGCCGGCTCGCAACGCCAATACGAGCCCTTCACGCGCTCGCGGGCAGGGGAGTTTGTGCTCAAGGAGGGTCGGACCTTCTCGGCGCTGGAGCGGCAGCGGCTCATCCTCTCTATACTGGAGGCAGAGCACAACGGACTGCTCTGGAGGCGATACACCCCTCATTTTGATGTCATCGCCCATGTTAGGCGGAGCGCGAGGTTGGCGGCGCTGGGCTTGACCTCGACGAGCTCGTTGTCAGCGGCGTACTGATCTGCTACTTTGGTCTGCACTCCATTGCAGAGAGGAACTCGCTCAACGCAGAGTGGCTAACCGTGCGCTCGTGGCCGTTTGCGAACCGGCGGCTCTTTCCGGACCTCGGGCTGATGCAGCAGCCGATAGGGGAGGTCCGGGAGTACTATGGCGAGAGCATCGCCATGTACTTTGCCTGGATGGAGCACTACACCAACTCGCTGACGGTGCGTGCGTCCCTTCTCCTCCTGCGCCCCGCGCATCAGCCACGCACCGCTGGAGCCAAGCGGCCGCTGCTCCGTAGACCAGACCCTCTGCTCCTACCACCCGAGGCACGTCCCAACGCGCGTCCCAACGGCGTGCCTGCAGGTGCTTGCGCTCATCGCCGCTGTCGTCGAGCTGTCGCCGGTTGGTGCGCTCGGCACGCCGCTGTACGCATGCGCCTCTGCGCTGTGGTGCACGTTGATGGCGGAGTCGTGGAAGCGCCGCCAGGCCACGCTGGCGCACGAGTGGGGAATGGTTGGCTACGAGAACGAGGAGCGGCCCCGGCCCGAGTTCATCGCAGCCTTCCACAAGGGGCTGTGGGCAGCAGACCACGAGGCGGATCCACCCGAGGTGGATGATGGCGATGGGCTTTCGGAGAGCAACGCGAGCATGCGGCTCGACGCGGAGAGCAAGCCAATGGTGAAGAAGCGGCAGTCGTCCCTCACGAAGATCGTGCGGGGCAACAAGGGCGGGATGGAGCGGCGGAGCGGCTTTTACGACCGGCGCGGCTTTGTGCCGCATGACGACGCTCCGGAGACGCTAGTGATGCCCGAGGGGTCCCGGCTGCGCGTGTACCTCATGAGCATCCCGACGCTGGTGCTGTGCACCGTGCTGATGCTGGTGGTCACACTCGGCATCCTCACCTTCCGCATGCTCATGTCGCTGTCGCGGCAGCTGGAGGAGCATCCGTACTTCAACCCGTCCACCGCGACGACGGTGGGCGCGCTGCTGAACACACTGTGGATCACAGTCATGAATATGGTGTACGCCAAGCTAGCCGCATGGCTCAACGATCTCGAGAACCACCGCACCGACACGGAGCACGAGGACGCGCTCATCGTCAAGACCTTCCTCTTCCAGTTTGCAAACTCGTACATCGTGCTCTTTTACATCGCTTTCATCCAGGGCCTCAACTTCTCGCTCTACGGTGCCTTTGGCTACACCAACGCGGCGGGCCAGGCGTACCACGACATGTGCGGCCTCTCGGGCGGTGAGTCTGGGGCCGACTCGTGGGCCTTTGCCGGCTGCAAGGGCCCCGGCGGCAGCGCAGGCGTACCGCCCCCGACGGCGGGCGACCCGCTCGACGCATCCAACCCTCAGGGGCACTGCGAGCGGGCGATCTTTGTCGAGGCGCGCCACGTCTCTGGCCGCTGCCACCTCGCAGCCTCCGCCCCCTTCTCACTCTCCGCAGCGACGCCCCCTCGCCGCAGGACCCTGACGGCTGCGTCGGGCTGCTCCGCACGCAGCTGTTCTACTACACCGTCTTCAAGCCCCTCTACGAGGTTGCGCTGCAGGCTCTCATCCCGTGGCTGCAGCACCGCTACAACCTCTACCAGCTCCGCCAGCGCGTCGGCCGGTCCTCCATCGCGGCCACGGGGATGGCCAGCGCGGAGGCAGCAGACAGCGGCGGGAAGATGGCGGGCTGCGTCGACTGGATGACGGGGCTCGTGGGGGCGCCGCCGGGGACGCAGAGTAGTACGGTGAGCATCGACCTGAGCTCCGAGGAGCAGGTTGCGCTTCGCTTCGTCGAGCTCGGTCAGGAGATCGAGGAGCAGATGGCCATGCCGGCGTTCGACGGCACCTTTTCCGAGTACAACACCAAGGTGATACAGTACGGCTTTGTCTGCATGTTTGCCTCCGCCTTCCCACCCGCCGCCATCGCCGCGGCGATCGCCAACTTTGTCGAGCTACGCTTCGACGCGCACAAGATTGGCTACTCGCATCGCCGGCCGGTCTACCGCGGCGCGGAGGACATCGGCTCCTGGCAGCACGTGATGGACGTGCTCTCGTGGCTGGCGCTCGTCATCAATGTGCCACCCGATCCCTCTGCCGCGTCGCGCGGCACACGAGGCCCAGTGACCACGCGCTGCCGTTCTCCGTCGCCCGCAGGCTCTGATCGTGGCGTACACGTCCAACAGCGTGCGCGACATGCTCGTAATACCGTGGCTCGCCGACAGAAGCGACTGCTCCAGCGACGCGGCCCCCTCGTGGGATGAGGACTGCGTCTCCAACTGGCGAGAGTGCTACCTCAACATTGGCGGCACGCCTGAGTACCCGGCATGGCAGTACCTGCCCACAAACATCACCGTCTCGGTCCCGCTGCTCACGGCGCTATGCGAGAAGAAGGTGGCGGCCGAGATGCAGACGCTGTACGACGAGGAGCATTGCTTCGTGTGCCAGGCGCGGCAGCGCGCCGTCTCATTATCGCTCGTCTGGACCGTCTTTGTTCTCGAGCACGTTCTCGTCCTCGTCAAGCTCTTCCTCGCCGCCTTGGTGCCCGACGTGCCGCGCTGGGTCGAGCTTGAGCAGGCAAAGCAGCGCTATGTGAGCGAGCGCCAGCGCAAGAAGCAATGACCCGGGAGACGCGAGCGCGCATGTGCGGTATCGTGAGCGTGCCGAGCGCATGTGCTAAGGGTTGGCCCTCGCGCTCGCCACCGTTCTCGGACCTCGGGCTCGGCGCTCGCACCTCGAGAGCTCTCGACGTCGACCGTCGACGGCCGCGCTGCTGCGTGCTCCTCTGCACTGTGGCGCTGCCGCTGCGCGCTGGGGACTGGGCACCGGACCTGGCTCCTGGCCACCTGGGGGTGGGGCGCCGCCCGGGCGGCGGGCGCGCTGGACCTGTGGAGCGCTGGGCCGCTCCTGGCGCTGCTTCCGGTTCCGCGGGGCCGGGGGGCTCGCGCCTCGCGCCCCCTCGACGGTGGGCCTGAACATATTTTGACATGTCGTAGATGTAGAAGACGTTTCAACTAACAGCGAAACGCGCGGACACAATCATACACTGCTGCGCTCGCACGTGACACATACCCTTGATAATCGCGCTCCCGCCCCTCCACGCCTTCGCTCCCGGCGCCGAACATCCTCGGCCTCTCCTCTGCCCCTCCGGCGCCATCCGCAACGCCATCCGGCGCGCCGCCGAACGGGGCTGCCGCAGCGGCGGCGCAGGCCGTGTGGCCAGCCGCTTAGAGCGTCTCGCCGATCGGGAAGATCGGGTTGCCGGTCAGGCCCTCGTGGATCAGCATGCCTGGGGGGGGGGGGGGGGGCAAGGGGTGAAAGGGGCAGGGACGGGGGCCGGGGGAGCATGACGCAGGAGTATGTGTGTGTGCCGCTCCTCGAGGGAGGGTGAAGGGGGGGGGGGGGTATGCACCGGTGATGCCCATCATCGCAGCGCGGCCGTTGTTGCGCTCGGCGTTGAGCTTCCAGGTCTTTCCGAGGAAGAGCTCGTCCTCGCCGACCTGCGGCGGGGCAGGGAGGGGCGCGTGGGAGGGGGGCGGCAGATTGACGGGAAGAGGGGGGGGGGGGGCGAGGGTAGAATGGTGTGTGGGAGGAGCGGCGGCGGCGGCACCTGCTTGGTCGAGCCGTCGCCAAGCCAGACGTCGTAGCCGTCGGGGTAGCGCGCCCACGCGACGCCCTCGGGGACGACGTCACCGGGGTCCTTCTCGGGGTCCTGCTTCAGCGCGTACACCTCGAGGAAGGAGATGAAGAGGACGATCTGCAGCCACGCCGAGGTGGGCAGAGCCGCCCACGACGCAATCGCGCCGCCGGGCAGGTCGGAGAACTTGATGCCCTCCGCGAGGGAGAGGTAGCCGGGCCAGCGGATGCCCGAGTAGGTGGTGATGACGCCGAGGAAGGCCGCCATCGCGAGCCGCCCGTGCTTGATCTCCATCTCCACGAACCTGCGGTACCGCTCCGGCCCCTGCTCGCGGATCTGCAGCGGGTCCCAGCGGCCGATGGGCGGAAGCACCCCGATCTCGTCGAACTGCGGGACGAAGGTGTCGACCTCGACGTACGGCTTGCCGGTCACGTCGACGAACGAGCCAGCGGTGCGGCGGGTGGAGATCTTTGCGTAATCCTTGCCGCCGCCGCGCTTGGCCGCCTTGGCAGCCTTCTTGACGGGCTTCTTGGCCGCCTTCTTGGGCGCCGCAGCCTTGGAGCCGGAGAAGAACATCTCCGGCGCCGGCGTGCGCACCGCCGCGAGCGGCGCGACGGGCGCGGTGAAGGAGAGGGCGACAGGGGCGAGCGAAAGCATGGGAGGCGATTCTCAGGGGCGATCTGCGCGACAATTCAGAGGATCCCGAGACCTCGGGAGCAAGTTGGCTGCACCCATGAAGGTTTTCCACATTCGTCAAAGGAAAGAGGCGCATGAAGCGCGAAATGCAAGCCAACTGCAGAGAAAAGAAAGAGCGCACCGCCCATACTTGGCGTGAGGACCGCCAGTGGAGTTGGGAGTCCACAGTGCACCACCGCGCTGCGAGCCTGTCGTGGTTGGTGTCGACACTGATCACTGTGTCTGTGAGAAATTGGTGATTTCTTGTTGGTTTTCAAAAATATCAAAACAACAAATGTGAGTGTTGGAGTTGTTTGGTATTGTCCGCGTTGCCGTTGGGTCGTGCGCGGCCTTGTCTGCTGCCTTTCCCCGCAACTTGAGCTGCCCCTGCACCGCGACCATCGCGTTGGCGGTCTCTGCGCAGCAAGCTTGGCCGCCTTCGCCGATCTCTCTCGCTCTGCCGCCGCCGCCGCGTCCACGGGGCGGGTCGTCGCGCAGCTCGGCGTCGGCAGCCTCGATCATGGGACATGGCAGCCTCGCTCATACCACATACGTACGGGAGCGCAGAGACCTGAATACGGTCCGTCGACAAATTCGAAACGTCCGCAGCTCCCGCCGAATTCGAAACGTCCGCAGCTCCCGCCGATCTCCCGCTAACGGATCTTACCCCGCCTGTAACCTCTCTTTAAGGTATTGCTAAACGCCTCTCTCTCTCACCACCACATCCACAACCACACTCTAAATAAAATAAATCAAACGGACATCCCAATGCTATAGGGCTGGGTCGAGGACAGACACGTCCCCACCTTTGCAGGATTTTGCAAAAGCGAGGGGGGAAGGGCGCATCGCCGCGCGGAGAGGGCTGGGCACAGGGCACAGGGGATCTCTCTCGCATAGCCATAGGATACACACTCGGCGGCACGAGGGCAGGGCTGAGCGTCCTATTTGTGCTCCCCCCCGGACCCCTCGCTCTCGGGCACTATCCATCTGACCACTAACGGACTTGGAGCACTTGGAGTGCAGTCATCAACCTCACATCCAGGGCCGGGGAGCTGAGAAGCGCACCCAGCGAGCCGGATGATCGGCATCGGGCTACGGGCTAGAGAGCCCTGACCCCTAGCTAGGGGGGGTGCGCATTCGCAGGGCAAGGGCCTTAAAGTAAACACGGGTCTCCGAGGGTTGGTTCTGCGCTTTGGGTGTCCCCTAGCGGCGGAACGCCCCCTCTACTCGGAGCTAGTAAACACCAGACTCTAGACTAACATGTTTTCTTTCTTTTTCTACTCGGAGCCAGTGAGACGAGAATACGCACATCTTACAAGAATACATACTGCCCCCACGGAGTACCTGCACTACTCGACGATAATACAAGAAGAATACGCAGGACGCAGCTTGGAAGTTGCAGACGCCTATAAAGAAAAAACAGCCAGCTAAATTTCGGCGGCTAAAAAGCAAAGGACGGGCGCTTTTGATCGGCAAAGCAAAGTTGGAGTAACGGCGACCGCGTCGCCACAATGCCAGTCGCCTGTCGAGCAGCCTTGGCGGCGCGCATGCGCCGCAGGGTTGACCGACAGCCGCGCGCCTCGAGCCTCTCGCTCCAAGCGCCGGCAGCCACGCAGCGGCAAGACACGCAGTGGCCGCACTGCGGCGGTTGGACCCCGGCCCGTGCGTCGACAAAAACGCGCTATCCGCGCGGCGGCGGGCCCTCGCGCCAGTCGCGCTCCCCCTCCCCTGACTCGCCGCCCGCGAAGCGCGCCTCCTCCGCCGACTCCTCCGGCTACGACTCCGAGACGCCCGACGAGGTCCAGACGGAGGCGGTGCGCAGGGTGTGCGGCGCGCTCGGCATAAGGGAGCGGTTCGACGCGGCGCTGGCGGCGGGCGAGCTGCCCGAGCTGCTCGAGGGATTGCCGTGTGGAATGGTTGAGGCCTCCATCCGTCTCATGCGGGGGTACATGCGCACGGGCAAGTGGCCCGAGCCCACCCTGCCCAGCCCTGAACCGGAGCGCGGCCGCTCGCGTAGTAGCTCACACTGCCCCTCAGAGTGGTCGGAGGATTAGTGCCCCAAGAGCGAGGACCCCGAGGGGAGCACCAATAGGAGGCCCAGCCTTGCCCTCGTGCCGCCGAGTGTGTATCCTATGCGAGAGAGATCCCCTGTCGCCTGTGCCCTGTGCCCAGCCCTCTCCACGCCGCGATGCGCCCCCCCGCCCCCTCCCCCTCGCCCTTGCAAAATCCTGCAAAGGTGGGGACGTGTCTGTCCTCGACCCAGCCCTAGCTTGGGATGACGGATGTCCGTTTTATTTATTAGAATTAGTGCTTGAGCAGCCGGGCGGTCGCCGCAGCCACCTCGAACGGTAGCTCGTCGAGCCACTCGCCGAAGGTGCCCTCGTCTTGCGCCGCGGCGTTCAACTACTTTTTCTTTTTGCCTCTGTGTAGTGTGTAGCAAGGGGCTCTGCAAATGCGAATATGCTAAAAGTCTGTTTCTTTTTCGGTAGCGGGCGAAAAAAAACTCGGGGCGCAGGCAATCCCGAGAGTCAGCATGATATGCCTCTGCCCGACCTAATCGAGGTTGTGCCGCTCAGCCCCGAGGCGCTGGCGCGGCTCAAGGCGGCGCCCGCCCAGATTGCCATCCCAGGGTCCAAGTCCATCACCAACCGCGCAATCGTGCTCGCTGCGCTCGGCGACGGCGCTGTAACGCTCCAGGGCGCGCTGTGGTCCGAGGACACTGAGGCGATGACTGAGTGCATGCGGACGCTCGGGATCAACGTCGAGGTGGCGGCCGACCCACTAAATGCGGCCAACCGGCGGATCACTGTCCACGGCTGCGGCGGCGTGGTGCCTCCGGGCGGCACCGAGGAGGCGCCGACCGAGCTCTTTGTGGCGAACGCCGGCACTGCGGCCCGCTTCCTGACGGCGATGGTGTGCCTGGGGAGCGGCGTGTACCGCCTCTCCGGCGTCCCGCGCATGCACGAGCGGCCGCAGGCGCGCTAGCCACTCAGTGGACATCTTCTCAGAGCCCTCCTCGAATCTTCTCGGAAGCTTCCCCACAGGCGGAGCTCGTCCGAGCGCTGCGAGCGCTCGGGTACCGCGTCGACACGCCCAATGAGCGGCTGCCGGCGCTCGTGCACGGCGGAGGGCCGCGGCCGGGTCCGGTGCTGGTGAGCGTGTCCGACTCGTCGCAGTTTGCGTCCGCCCTGCTGCTCTCGAGCGCGCGCGGCGGGTGGGTCGTCTCGGCGCGGGTGCGGCACGCCGTGAGCTGCGTCTCTTCACGCCATTGGCCGTGAACAGGTGGGTCGTCTCGACTCCGGAGGGGTCCAACCCGGACGAGCTCCCGCGCGCGATCCTCTGAGAGCGGCCCCTCTGCCTCACGGCGGAGGCGCACACGGGCAGCCGTTGGAGACTTTGTAGGCGCGGCGAGAGAGGGCGCGCCTGCGGGGGAGAGCGAGCCTCCTCGGAGCCCGTTCGGAGCCCTCCCGGTAGGTACGTCGAGATGACGCGCCGGCTGGTGGAGACGTTCCCACACGGCGGCGGCGACTTCCAGGTCGAGCCGGACGCGTCCAGCGCCAGCTACTTTCACGCTGCAAACGCGCTCTTCCCAGACCACCTGCCGGCGCGGCGGCCTGCCCCTCCCCTCGGAGCCCACCCCGTCTAGGCGCAAGCCCTCGAGGGCGACACTTGCGGTAGGTGCGCGTGCTCGCCTGCCAGCCCCCAAAGAGGGAGGGAGGAACCGGCTGGCAGATCGACGCAGAGTTCCCACGTTTGGCGCCGACGGCGGCGGCCGAAGGCGACAACGGTGGCGGCGACGGCGACGGCGGCGCGGCGGCCGATCCGGCCAAGCGAGCGAAGCTGGCGCCGCGTGTCATTTCGCGGCACGCGCCGACGGATTTGGGCGACTCGGTCACGATTGCCATGCTGGCATGTCCGCGACACGTCCGCGACACGTCCGCGACACGTCCGCGGCACCGGCCACAGGTGATGACGGCGATCGCCATCGCGCCGCTCGCCTCGCAGCCGCACGCCTTCGCTTCGCTCGGCGTGCTGCGCAAGCAAGAGTGCGAGCGCGTGGCGGCACTGAGGGACGAGTTGCGCAAGTGCAAGGTGATCGCCGCCCGCGAGGGGGGCGTGGGAAGGAGGAGGGGGGGGAGGGGGGAGGAGGAGGCCCGCACCTCGAGCAAGCGCCCTCCCGCCCCGCCCCTCCCACCTCTCTGCGGCCGCCCTCGCACACCCCTCAGGCGAGCGTCGAGGAGGAGGTTGCGACGGACACTCTCTCCATCGCCCCGACCGCCGCCGCCTCCCTCGGCGACGCGACAGTGGCGACGTGCGTCGACCCGGATGGCGGCACGCGACGATGATTGCGGTCGAGCGTGACGCGGTCTTGGCATAGGTACCACGACCACCGGATGGCGATGTGCTTCGCCACTCTCGCGCTCAAGGCGCCGCCTTCATGGACGCTTCCTAGACACTTCCTAGACACTTCCTAGACACTTTCAAGACGCTTCATAGACGCTTCATAGACGCTTCATAGACGCTTCATAGACGCTTCATAGACGCTTCATAGACGCTTCCGGACGCTCACGAGGCGACACCGCCGCCGCCGCCGCCGCACCCGCGCCGCACTGCGCGAGCCGCGCCCCCCTGACGCGCGGTCGGGCTGCGGCAGGTGCGAGGCATCAAGATTGAGGGGCCGCGCTGCGTGAGGAAGACGGTGCCCTCCTTCTTCCAGATCCTTGCCGCGTCGCCGCCGAGCGGGCTGGGCGTGGAGGTCTGGGAGTGCAACGCCGCCACGGGCGAGCGGCTGCGGCGGCTTGAGGCTCCCGAGGACCTCTTCGCCGCGTGAGCCAGACGTTTTAGGATACGCGATCGCGCACGCACACGTACTCCTCATCTTTGAAGCATGTGTCATGTCCATGGCCGATGATGCGATGAAGGCTGAGATCCGCGTCATCTGTGCTGGGGAGTCTCGCGCTCGTTGCGACGTTGGCCACAGTTCTACACGGTCTTAAACGAGTGGGCACTTTCTTGTAGTAATTGCTGCGTCCACATTTTGCACATACCACATTGTCAGCATTATTGTCTCTTTTTGCGACACGCGCGTTTTCATTTTTTATACCGTCATGCGTCAATGTGTGCGCGCGGCGCCGCCGCGAACCCCACGGGAACCGCGCCCCGTGGCGGCGTGGGGGCGCCAGAACTTGGGCCAGGTACCAATTTTGTCGAATTTATTTCAAAATCTGCAGGCGCGGAGCGCCTGCGAAAATTTTGAAGAAATTTGCAGTCGGGCCTGATTTTCATCAAGATCTTTCAAATTTGCGGTGTGGAGTTGGGGGGTGGGTTAGGTTAGGGTTATTAGGGTTAGAGGGTTTGGGTTAGGGTTAGGGTTAGGGTCAGGGTTGTCTGGTTGTGTCTGTATATGCCAGCGTTGCAGGGTTCTGCGCTGGTATCTGGCCCCACAGCGCCGACGACTACGCCGCCACCACACAGGGATTTTAAGGAGAGGTGTGTGGTGCGCTATCCGTCGCCCACCCTAGGGAGTCTGCCTCTTCCTATCTCTCTTCGCAGTCTCTCGCCGATTCTCGCTGCAACCTTCATGCCACCTCGCGGTCGTCCCACCCTCGTCGTTCTCTGGGGACGAGTAGGATCTTGTAAGCCCACGTAAAATTCTTTTCTTTAGCAGCTTGTTCGCGGGCTTTGCGCGCACCAAGGACGCAGAGCTCGCGCCACCCTCCGGACGCCCATATGCGCCAACTCGACGAGGAGGCTGGCGAAGAGAGCTGCGTTATTATCAAGCAAGACTGCAGCAGCGGCGGATGACGACCGGGCGGTTGTGGTCGCGGCGGGAGTGCTCCGCCTCTGGTACGCGTGTGCATGGCGATTCCAGGCCCGCTCCGCCTGCCGACCACGTTGCTGCTCTGCTTCGGCAGCGCTTACGCCATCGTCCACGTCTGCTCCTTTGCGCTGAGTGCGGCGCTCTAGGGTCAGTCGGCAGCCTTGCAGCGCCAAATGATGTGACCACGCCCAATCGCTCTCCTGCGGCGCGTGGTCCTGAGCGCACGCGCTGTGCCCGGCGCACTTTTCTCGCTACGCGGTAGAGGTTTTCGGTTTTCGGTCCGTCGCTCTGAAAGAGCCTCGCCCACCTTGACAAGGCGCCGAGGCCGTTCATGGATCTTGGGGCCTTTTTTTTGAATTTTGTCACTGACAGAAGGACCTTTTTGGACTGTCCAAGATAGTGCATTTCGGTTCCCCCCAAAATCCAGAAACAGCATACACATATAGCCGCGCGCCGCATATCTAGAGTGCGCCAGCACGACGCGGCGAGGGGAAACGGCGCAGCTCCCTCCGCGCTCTCTCTCTGGTGCATGTCTGTGGGACTCTCTCCGAATATGGCTTCCTCTGAACACGCCGCGCCCGACGGGGTCGGCGCGCCCCGGCAGGTCCGTCCCAGAAAATCGCTGCCTCCCTCCCCTGAGTCCCGCCTTTGGCCGCGGCTCCAACTTCGGGCTTGGGAAGGAAAGGGGGGGGGGGGGGGCC